TGATGCGCTGCCTTGCAATGATGGGTGTATTAAGTCGGGAACAAATTTTTACAGCATTTTCTGGTCATGATGGGATTGAGACGTATAACGATGATTTGCTTATAGATGTTTCTTAGATTCAAAAGATTTCTCGAGATCTGGTCAGAACTCATTTGGTTTTTCCACTTTCGCGTACTGGGGGGTGCTAAATTTAGTGATGGTTGATCCGTATGATATGGTGGCAATGGATACAATTCGTTATATTTTTGGAGAGAGTCTTTCGATCAAGCCTTTTATTATTTCTGAAAAGGCGCTTTGGCATCTTGTTGAAAAATATTACCCTCCTGAACATTCTTTAGAGAATGCTTTTTCTGCGCTTTGTCAGAATGAATTGGGTGATAGAAAAAAGGCCTTAACGTCTTTAGGTGTGAGAGATTCTGATGAGAGTAAAATTCGTGCTGTAGAAGCTTTGTTGCATGATGCTTCCTCAAGAGGAGCTTCAGATATTCATTTAGAGCCAGAAAGTACTCTTTTGAGAGTGCGTTATAGGCTTGATGGTATTTTAAGACAGATTTACGTCCTTCATAAAGCTCATTGGTAAAGCTTGAATATTCGTTTGAAAGTTTTATCCGGTCTGAATGTTGGAGAAAGTTATGTTCCCCAAAGTGGAGGATTTAGCCAGACGATAGGCGGGCGCCAAGTCGATTTTCGCGTTTCTACACATCCAACCGTAGAAGGTGAAAATATGGTTATCCGACTTTTAGATCGATCTCGATCTTTACTGGATTTACCTGAACTAGGTTTTCGGGAAGATGACATGGCATTACTGCAGAATGCTTTAAAAACGCCAGAGGGAATGATTTTAGTGACAGGTCCGACTGGGTCTGGGAAAACAACGACCCTTTATGGAATGCTAAAGGCGCTTAGGGCAAAAGAAATTAATATTATGACCTTAGAAGACCCTGTTGAATATAGACTGCCGCTTATTCGCCAGACAGAAATTAATTTGGCGCGGGAGGTCGGTTTTTCTCAAGGGGTAAGGTCTATTTTGCGCCAAGATCCAGATGTTGTCTTTATTGGCGAAATTAGAGACGAAGAAACAGCACAAATGGCAGTGCGGTCTGCTTTAACCGGGCATCAGGTGTTTGGAACACTGCATACCAATAGCGCTTTAGGGGCTTTAACGCGCTTAAAAGACTTAGGGGTTCCAAAGGGGATGCTTTCAGGCAATGTTATTGCACTGATGTCACAGCGTTTAGTGCGAAAACTATGCGAGAAATGTAAAGTGCCACATCCGCAAGAAATTGGCTTTCTCCCTCAGGGGTGTGATGAGTGTTTCCAGAGCGGTTATAAAGGGAGAGAAGCCATCGCAGAAATCCTGCCCTTTGATGTACACGCAAACGATTTATTAGCCTCAAAAGCAACCATAAAAGATTTTAGAGAACACTTTTTAGCGCAAGGAGCGATCTTTTTGAAAGAGCACGCTTGGCAGAAAGTATGCCAGGGAATCAACTCTATAACAGAGGCAGAACGCGTTGTTGGTTCGTTAAGGGGAGAAAGTTAATGTTTTATAGTTATACGGCTATTTCTTCCCATGGGCATAGAGTCAAGGGTATGGCTCAGGTCCATAATAGGCAACAT